ATTTCAATAGGAAGGAATAATAATGTTCAGATTTAATGTAGAGCCTTGGACCATCCTCGCGAATGTTTAGACTCTAACCCTATCTCGATGCTAGGATGTATAGTCCAAACTCTGCACAGAAGATGGATGCACTATATATATTGTTGCTTAAATCTGTGCACCCATTTAAAAATCTAACAAATGGGTTGCATGTTTGCACACTGCAAAGCGAATCAACCACTCAAAAATATTTACTTGAAGATAAAATTAAGTTGGAAATAAATGACCTTTGCAGTTAAGATTTTTGAGGGATTTAAAAAAAATGTATGTGCAGTTACATGAAGTATGCAAAAGACAAGTCACTTACAAGTAAAAGTTGTGCCAATTTGTCTCTTTGCTTTTTGCCAATGTAAACTCAAGCACTTAGGTTTCTTGACATGAAACCATGTTTCACAGCGATAAAAACTTCCAAATAAATTTTGGATTTGTACGGCCTCCAAATTCTTTCGTACACATGAATAAAGAAGTTAGCATCGAGTTCGTGAAAGTAACATCTGCACACAACCGTATACAGTAAACTTAAATTAATTTGTTCAACTACTGATGAATATTATTGCCAAATCATTACAATATTTGATTGTATATTTAACTAATAATAATGATCCTTGCGTTTGATATAGCACCTTATCATGTCTTTGAGACGTCGCTAAACGTTTTGCAGAGCATACTGAAAAGTGAATTGACTATATTTTGTGGGCAAAATACGGTAGCCAATTGCGTACAGCAGTGTCCCACAAACAGTTGTGGATTGAGTGACAAAGTGTTTTTTTTGAGGGATTATTAACCCCAGAAAGAGATCCACCAATCGACTGACAACTGGATTCCTACTTATTGCTAGATAAACAGAGGTGTGTGGAGCAAGGAATTGAAACCGGGTCATCTTGCTTGTGAGCTGAGCATATTAACCAATATGCTATGGGCCTCCACTGTAGAAAAAGGGAATAGAATTGAGCAGAATTTACATGTTTTTGAACATGAAGAATTCTTAATTTAGGTTAATTATAATAATCCTTGCACTTGTTACTGTATCTATAATATTGAAACGTTTCAAACTACTTCATGGGGAATTGCTGTCAAGTGTGGTGTTGTTTTTGTCAGCAAACTGCAGCCAATTCGCACACAAGTCCTCACAAATAGGCATGAGGTGAATGGCCAGTTTACATTGGGGAGTGTTCATAATTGCCTTGGGACATCCTACAGACGTGAAATGACCTCTGCAAATATACTTTATTGCTGTTATAAGGACACTCAGAATATCGATTGTAATAATTGTATTTGATATGGTGCCTTACCATGTCTCAAAGCACACCACCCGAATCGCTGTAAAGTGCAGTAACTTTACTGATGATCACAGCAGCCACATGCACAGTAGGAAAACAGCGATGGCCTGCAAATGACCATGAAGTAAATGAGCAATTGTATACGGGAGGATTATTGGCCATTACATTGGGAGAAACTCCCTTGTATTGTAAGAATTGTAAGAATCTGTGCTAGGAGTGTTGGGATATGGAAAATAATTCACCCGCAAGTCCAAGAGCTGAGTAAGAAGTGATTCCAGAAATTCCGAGTTGAATTATTTTCCTGTGTGCTTCATGAATAATTCTATTGATGACCCAACCGAGGAGTTAAAATAATAAAACACATACTTTTGCAAAAATGTTATTGGCGGATATAGTCCGAGGTCATTTGGCACCAGGGTTACTTCTGAGTTTATGATTTGAAAGTGACCAAGTTGAATCTTAAGGCACACTTCTGTATAGAATCATAAAATCTTACAGCACAGAAGGAGGCCATTTGGCCCATCGTGCCTGTGTCAGCTCTTTGAAAACTAACAACCGGGTTCCTACCCACTGCTTGGTAAACAGACATGTGTGGAGTAAGGAAACCTGTCTACCGTTTTGTCCTGCCCGGGAATCGAACCCAGGTCCTCTCCGTTTGCGAGGCGACTGCTCTAACCAATACTATGGAGGACTCCACTAAATTGTAAAGTCCTGCAAGTATTCAGATGTGCAGAGCGAATTTGAGCTTTCCTCAGTCAGCCTGCAGTCAGATTGAGGACAGCCATTCCCAAAGCTGCCAAATTGCAGTGGTTGGAACCTGAGCTCGGCACCCAAACAGACTGCCGCAGGGCAGGCTGAGATGCATCCGGATGCCTGCTGGATTTGCCATTGACAAATTGCCTTGTGAATCTCTTTTAAACTAGAGTCCATTGAAATGTCAGTGTGATCAAGCTTACTGTATATTGGAACAGACTATTTGAATTAGCAAGTTTTACCTTTCCTCTCCTGGGTCACTGCCTCCCCCCTATTACTGAGCAAGATGGGCAAGCTGTACTTCAATAAACATTAATATATCTCTGATTTCACAGCAGTCTAGTATTGCTCTTACTGGTACACCTTGCAAGTTCCTGCTTTCTTGAAAATTATTTTTTTGTTTTAGGAGGTGGTAGTTTAAATGAACCAGACTGCTTCTGTGCTGTCAGTTTCTATCATTCTACTTAAGTTGTTTTATGAAATATAGCAATCAATCGTTGCTGCTGGAATTTATAATGATAATTAATAATAATAATCTTTACATTTCGTACTGCGCCTTTCACATTGCGAGGAAACCTCAAAGAGCTTCACAAGGTTTATTGCAAAGTAGGGCGACTGCAACCACCCACATCATAACAAGATTCGTCTTTTATGAATAATATTACACTGAGGCAGTGATTCAGTTATGCCTAAACTGTTTAAGATGTCTACCAGGTAAAGTTTCACATGATACAATATGTGGTGCCATTATCCTCTCTTAGGGATGGATATGTTGCTTTTAAATCATCTCTGCAGACAGTGGCACTGCGTTAGGAAAAGTCAAAAGTTCAAATTAATGTACATTTATTGGAATATGATTTACAACACAGAATGCTGGATTTATTGCCCCAGAGTGAGGCTGATAAATATCGATTTTTGTTGTTCCTTCAATGGCACAAAGTGCAGTTAATGAGTAATTAAAATATCAAAATGTTTTGTGAAATGCTTACATTGGTTAATTGTAGGAGACAGACCTAATAAATCTTGTGAATGTGGGTGCTTAGGGTCACATTTAAACCCTAACCATTATTTAAACCATTTAGAGTAAGACCAGGTTTGTTCACTCGCACAGTGAATGGTTGATTGCAACACCCTTGGCCCAGTATGTTGCAGTATAGTATTTAAAGATCTGATGGCTATACATATGCACAAATTTGAACAAACCTATAATTATTCCCAAAAGATTATGACCTGTGACTTTCTACTAAACCGTTAAACCCATGTGAAAGCTTGTAACCTAAACTATGTATGCAAATGCAATGATCCGTTATATAAATACACCTGCAGAATATTAGATGTTAGATAGAATAATGCTTTAATTTCTACTTCAGAGTTATTAATGGGTTATTCATTTCTGATGAGATCAACCCTAGGCGCTCTATCAAATACAAGGATTATTATTATAATTAATTATTTGTGTTGTAGGTCAAACAACTGATGCACACAGGGAAGATGCAGAAATCACTGAAATCACTAAAATAATTCCTATCAAAGTTCATCTAAAGAGCACAGAAGCCGTACAAATTTGTCAACGTGGATTTCAAAGCAATAGGTCACGCCTCATGCATTTATTGAAATGCTTCCAGGAACTAGCTAAACTTGTATATGCAAGATATTATTTTTCTTGTTTTTTTTATAAGGCATTTGATAAAGTTTAAAGCTCCAGCAAGCTAGTTGATCTGAATCCTGGAAAGTAGGAAACAGAGCTGATAATCAATGGGAAAATATCCCAGCTGGAGTATCACAGTACAGGAGAGTTTCAGAGGGGCTACATGCGCTTCACATGACAACATTATTCTTTTAATAATTCTTGTTTGATATAGAACCTATAACATTGAAACATCTCAATTGCAGGTAATTGCCATCAAGTGAAGTAACTTTGCATTTGTATAGCAAACATGACAGCAAATTTGTCCACAGCAATGTCCCACAGACAGTCACTGACCAATTTTATCCAGGGGATTGTTGGCAGGATAGCGCCCTGAAAAACGATGCTCTGTTGTGTCACGTTTTAGCATTTTTGTTAATTAACAGCATTTGTATCCCGATTCAACGACTGTCCTTCATTCAATCATCGAAAATGGTACTACTTTATCTTCGATTCAGAGTTTGTGGGATATTGCTACTCACAAACTCCTGTAAATACATAGTCGCTACACTTCACAGTAAAATCCTGTGAAGCACTTTGTGACGTCCCGGTGATGTGACGACGTGCTATATCAAATGCAAATGCAGGGCTTATTATTATGCAGGATGCCAGACCAATCCTCGAAACAGTTGACCTTACTGTCACACAGGTTTGGTAAACCCAACACCTGTGGTTAATTTTTAAATGGGTCTTTTTTGAATTATGTTTTTCTCTCGTATATCAAAGATTAACACGGATTGTATTACTGACACAAATACCAATTCTTCTGTTCCTGATGTCTTATAAAATTCCCGCACGATGATGTCTTGGTGGAAAATAAGTGACATCATCCATGTAGTTGGTTGATCTCCTGAGGAAAGAAGTTTGTGGACAGTGAAACATTCTTAGTTTCTAGAATGTTAAAAACACATCTTGAATTATTTAGAAACTTGTATTTTTTAAATTTTGGTGAAATTTAGAACCATTGGTGTTATTAAACTGAAAATCCCAGTAGTGTTATGTGGAAACACGGAGGATTAACTATGCAGATAATATATTTTAGATGGAACAGTTTCAGTGGTCATAAATAACACGGTTGGTTGTCTTGCAAAACTAAAGCCATCTTGATGTTTTGTACGATCGTCTTTTTACACGCAACAAGTCTTTCATTGAGAAATTGTTGTTACAATTGGCTAAGTACACACACCAAAGGCACATTTTATTTCCAAGCCGATCTACTCACAGATGTGCGTCTTTTTCAGGAGAGCTCTCAATTTGGGAATATTACGTGATCCAGGATCAGAAGTCGAAGACAGACAGTACCAGATAGACCTGCAGTCTATGAGTATTGGCACTGCGTTCTGGGATCAGCTGAAGCCTGAAAAGGAAGTTGGGAAAGGAGGATTGTCCACAGACAGTGAAAGGAACTATCAGAATCCAGCACTTGAATGGAACATGGCCAGTAGGTAAGTACATAGTGAGGAAACTGCTGTCTCAAACCTTCCTGGAGAGATCGACCTGGTTTTCAAAATGCATGAGATCATCTCCTTCCAGTTTACTAATGCAGTTATTTCTCTGCTTGAAGACTGAGGCAAATCTACACACACTATTCCGTGCATCATCAAGATACCTAGAGAAACACAGGAAGGGTCACAGCTGGAGCAGAAGCTGAGTCTTTAGAGACCACTAAAGCACTGGAAAGCGTATCGCTCCCTGTTTGACCAGGACTGCTCTCACCATTAGGGCGTTGGGTTGCAGGGTTGGCAGAATGGGAAGAATCAAAGCCTCCAGTGATCTATCAATCCTCATAAAATGCTCAAAATGTAAAGTGCTATTCTCCTAGAATGCTAAAAGTCTGAAATTTGCCAAATTTGTTGTCAGATCTGTTGAGTATCTCTATCTTTCCTGTCACTGAACCATAACTGGAATTCACAACATTTACAACAACAACAACAACAAGATTCCATTTATAGAGCGCCTTTTACGTCGGGAGGACGTCCCAAGGCGCTGTACAGTTGGGTCAACGGTTACAGCGGTTGTTGGAAATGAAACATAAATCCCATTTGTATTAGGATTCCACTGTGGTCATTTTTTTTATTGCATTAGGGTGCAGCTTAATTGTTTCTAATTTAACTTGATTTATTGAAACTCCCATTGATTACATTTATAAATAATTGTCTTGTTTTCGCGTTTGGTGTTGAGACTTCCAAACAGATTCAATAAGCCAACCGCCTAAAACCATCTAATAATAATCCTCGCATTTGGTATAGCGCCTGCTCACCTGTTGAGATGACTCAAGATTTTATTGTGAAGTGTAGTGGCTATGTATTTGTAGGCAAGTGCGACAGCCAATTTGTGACAGCCAGGAAGTGAATGACTGATCTCTATCAGGAGGATTGTTGCCCAGGACACCGGGAGAAATTCCCCTCTCTTTCTAATAGTGCCAAGGGATGTTTAGCGTCCACGTGAACAGGAAGACAGGACCTGTTTCAGTTTTAACGTCTCATCCAAAGCATGACATCTCCAACAATGCAGCACAAACCCCAGCACTGGGCTATCTGAAATGCTGTTCTCTGTCCAGCGCCTTGGGACGTCCTCCCGATGTGAAAGGCGCTATACAAATGTAATCTTGTTGTTGTTATAGTGTCAGCTTAGACTGTAAATTCAAAGTGGTGATGTGGGGCTTCAACAACAACAACAAAATTACATTTATATAGCACTTTTCACATCAGGAGGACGTCCCAAGGCACTGGACAATTAGAGTTTCTGACCCGAGCTGGTGGTCATGATTGGGGAGGGTGGAGGGCAGGGGGTGGGGGGGAAGGAGGGTGACCAAAGTCGCGGTTGAAGAGGGTCTTGAGACAAGTCTTGAATGAGGCAAGGGAGGGAGCAAGACGGAGGGGCTGCGGGATGGAGTTCCAGACGGTGGGGGCAGAGTGGCAGAAGGCCTGCCTGCCAATAGTGGGGCGGGTGAGGTGAGGGCCGTGAAGCAGCTTCACAGTGAATCCTGTGAGGAGCTTTGAGATGTCTCAACGACCTGAAACACTCTATATTGAATGCAAGAACCATTTACGCAGAGAGGAATCAAAATTTGGGACAGGCCGTTAGGAAGGGAGATTGAGGCAGAACTCTGGACTCATAAAAGAAACAATTTGAAGACAGTAGTGTGGTTCTGCTGGAAGGATGAGAAACCCAAAAGATCTTCTTCTGAGCCTCTCTTGTGATGTAATTCTATCTGATTTCAATCTGCTTACAAAGCAGTTCAGACCTCTGAAATGTCAATTTTCTGAATCCCATCCAACACNAAAAAAACGTTAACTGCGTTCAGGATCTTTCCAACTTACCCCTTCCCCTCTCTTCCTCACATTTTAGTGGGACTCTTATTACACACTTCACAGACAAGCTCGAACTTTGGCCTCTCTTTAGGAATAAACATCACTAAGAACGGGAAACCCACCAAGCCACCTGTGACCTAAACCTAACTTTCGTTACCGCAGATTGTAAATACTAGAAGCCATGTTACTCCATTTTTTTTTGAAGTTCAGCAGATGTGACCATTAAAGCCATATTCTTAAGTGGAGTTTGTATATTTGTTTTACTGCATATAAATGTTTCTATTAGTTTGAGCCAGTTCCAGGAAAGGGTGACTAAATAAAATGGTATATTTAGGGAAGGGTTGTCTTTTGAACTTGACAGTGTTTCCCAGTACGTTCTGAGCTGCCTGCTCTGACAATCGTAACTAACGCGGATCCATACCGTGAAATTCATGTTAAGCGGTGAACAGTGTTTAGAAGCAAGCTGTAGGCAATCTGTAATTTTATCCACTCCAGGATGTGTAGATGGAAGAAACAAACCACAGGTGGTCTTGTCTGCAGAGCAGATGATCAAATAGGCTGGTTTGAGGGAGTTTTCCGCTCAAAACTGTTTACGCGTTCGAAGAGATTGAGAAGATGAACCCCCGCACCAGTCACCCCTCCGCAGGAAATGCATTACCAGACAAAACAATATAGGAATTAGCTTGATCAGAAAGTTAACAATCGGAAGCCACTGATGTTGGTGTTTGTACTTGTACTGTAATATTAGGTCACCAAAAACGCCTGACAGTTCTACATATTATTGTTTAGAGAAAGAAATGCTTCTTGGGCTAAACGACAGTGAACCATTGCTCTGAATTGAGTCGGGTGTTTTGTATCAGTGTCTGTTTATATGTGGAGTCCTGTAGCGTTATGGTTAGACCACTCGCCTCGCAAACGAGAGGACCTGGGTTTGATTCCCGGGCAGGGTGAACTGTTGGGCATGTTTCCTTGCTCCACATACTCTGTTCACCTAGCAGTAAGTAGGACCCAGTTGTTAGTCGATTGGCGGATCACTTTCCAGGGTCAATAAACCCTTCAAAATAAAATAATAATTTGCTCATTCAATCCACGACTGTTTGTGGGACACTGTTGTGCACAATTGGCTGCCATGTTTCGCCCACAAAATACCCAGTCAATTCACTTTACAGTATATTCTGTGAAGCGCTTTGAGACATCTCGAAGACATGCTAAGGCACTGTATCAAATGCAAGGATTATAAGTAGAGAGAGTTTGGCCTTTCAGTGCAGTAGTTTTACAGCACACAAATATACCCTCCGGCACAATTATCTGAAATGGGATCTTAGAAAATTCATAAACTCTGAATATACAGTGGCAGGGAAAAATGAAGTATGTGATATTTCCACATGCACTAAAGTACGGCCAAAAGCAGTGAACGGTTATCACTGGCCTCAAGCGAGGAAGGAGAGGAGAAAGGCTGTCATAACAGTTGACTGCTCTGGTCTGCATTTTTGGTCAATGTGATGATTATACGTGTCAGACTGACTCAGTGGTAGCACCCTCGCCTCTGAGTCAGAAGCTTTTTGGTTCAAATGCCACGTTTGGACTTGGAATCACTTAGTCTAAACTGACACTTACCTTTTTGACAGCTTGAACCATCCATTTACGTTAAAGCAGGAAGTGGGAGCCACAAGTGAAATTGTTAGTTGTGCCAATAGCACCATAAGAGTTCACTTGTCTTTGATCCTTTAAAGGTTAACAGCAAAATGATGTCCTTTTCTATCCAATGCCACAAACATTTGGCCGGGCTAATCTGTTACGAACTACTGGATAAATGAGGCTTAAAAGCTCCACCATCATTTATTTTCAGCAGAAGTGCCGGCCAAGGGGTGAGAAAGTGTAATATTTGCCCAGAAGCAATATGTTGCCTTTTCTTACCGTGAGAATGGTTTAAAAAGGATTCCCCTGTTGGGTAGGGTTTTCCCATCCTTAGCATTGTTGCGTTCCATATTAGATTCATAGAAATTTACAGAACAGAAAGCAATCTGAACCATTGTGTCTATGTTGACTCTTTTTAAAGAGCAATCCTTTCACTCCCGTTTACCTGTCTTTTCCAACACCTCACCCTCAAATCTCCTTTTCAGTACTCTGGTTTAGGAACACAAATGGCAGCTTTCCTTGTTTTTAATTATTTTTAAAAAAGTAGACTTTTGTCCTTAAGTGATAGTTGGGTGCAAAAATAAGTGCGATGTATCAAATAATTAGACATTCTTTGTGCTGTCATCTACTGGATAACAACAACTTGCATTTATATAGTGCCCTTCACTCGGGGTAGAGTCCTGGATCGCAACGGGATGTCAGAGCTGCAATTATAAATGTCTACTCCCACTGCTGCAATGACTATTTGTGGCACATTTGCCTGCGTGTTGGCCCACAAAACAGTCATTGCAATTTATGTTATATCCTCTGAAGCGCTTCGGGATGTCCTTCTGTCATGAAAGTTGGGACGTCCTCCTGACGTGAAAGGCGCTTTATAAATGGAATCTTGTTGTTGTTGTTGTTGTTGAAAGTTGCTTTACCAAATGTAAGGATTATTATTATTATAACAAAGATTATTAATGTTCCTTTTTTTCTCCTCTTTTTCTTCCAGTATTAGACGTCACCAAGAGCGAAGGGCAATTTTAACACCAATTTTGACCGATTTCAGTGTACGAATAACAGCTGCTCCTGCGATCCTGTTCACCAGGCAGTTATCACCAGAGAACACGCAAACTGAGGTTCGGCATGTCAGATCTTGGGGTTTCGATCCTCCTTCACTGAGAATAATGGGAATTGGAAGTGACCTAGATTTTGTAAATGAATGAAGATTTTTTTATTGCACTCCACCAGCACTTTAGTCTCCAATAAATAAACTATGTCAGCCTGGTTGAGCTGGTAGCAGTCTTACCCCTACACCATAAAGTTGAAGGTTTAAGCCCCACATCAGGACTTTCAACTCATATAGTCCAGGCTGACACTCCAATACAGTGCTACATAAGCGCTGAATCTTTGGAGGTGCCATCCTTTGCATGGGAAATTAGAGTGAGGTCCCATCTGCCTGTTCAGGCGAACGTTAAAGATCCTGTGGGGTTATTCAAAAAGAGGAGGGAGTTTCTCCCAGTATTCTGGCCAACAATCCCCCAGATAAAACTGGTCATTCGCTCCAGAACTGCTGTGGGACATTGTTGTGTGCAAAGGTTAGCTGGTTCGTTCACCCGCAAAAAAACAGTCACTACATATTATGCTCAATCCTGTGAAGCACTTTGAAATGCCATCCCAACGTGAAAGGTGGTATGCCAAATGCAAGGTTTATTATTCTTATTTAGTAAGAATAAAAAGTCTTACTAGTCTTACTTAGTAGAGTGTGTTTTAGAAGCTTCTAATTCCATTTTATTTCCTTTTTTGTCAAATTTACATAAAGTCTACAGAAAGTTGTGTGAATTTATGCACTGTTAATAATAATAATCCTTGCGTTCGGTATAGATCTTTCAGGTCATTTCACGTCACATTATTTAATTGGCTTTGATATTTCATTATTTATAATGCATTTGGGGGGCGAATATACAGCGATTTATTTCAGAATTCTTCAATAAAGTGAAACTGGAATCATGTCACTCGGCTTGCAGGGACTCCATTGAGATGATCTTGGGAGGAGAGGTTTGGGGAGTTTGCGTGACATGCTCCAACAAAGCCCATCTTAACAGTTACCTCTTTGACCACTCTTTTGGTCTTTTTTTCTCCCCCACCCACCCTCTTCTGCTCTGTTTGGGTGCCCAGCCAGCAGTATGAAATGCTTTAAGACATTCTGCCGACATTAAAAAGGGCTATATAAATTGTATTGTATTTTATATTAGACCCCATAATTGACTCCAACCTGTTAATTAATTTGAAAGATAAGTGTCATATTAGGGTCTTTTACTCGCAAGTGATACACTGTTTTGCAGGAAGTAACATGATTTACAATACTANTTTTTAAATCTTCACAGGAAATTGTCGTGTGTGGTCATTCATTGGAAGTCAATGTTACCACAAGCCTGGACTTCTTCCTCAGTGTGGCTCAAGTCCAGCTCTTACAGCAATTAGTGCAAGCCAATATGGTGGACTTGGAGCTGCCAGACAAGACAACCGAGGTAACCCTAGATTCTTACAGAATGTCCTTTTAAAACTAGTATTTAGACCACCACGGAGAACATCTAATAGGGCATTGAGTTACCATTGGTGTGCGCATTGTGGATTTTGGAGGAGTAAAAGTGGTGGGGATTGAAATGAGACTGTTTACAGATTGCAAAGCTTCGCAGTGGTCTTAGACTTGCATTGAGCGGAGAATGGGAAGAGCAAATTTCGATATGTAGGGTATCAGTGAGCACATGTGTTCTCCTTCACATTCAACCATATACTACCTACTTCAGCAGCCACTAAGTTATAACGAGATTATCGCTTACTTTTTTTTCCGTAGCCAGAATATTATAATGTATCCGTTGAACGTAATGCATTTATAAATGTGCAGTTCTTTGGGAAATGAGATAATTTCAGTTGTTAAAAAGAGCTGTGAAAGACCAGCTTCCAATTTAAGACTGAATAGGAATTTTCCAACATTCTGGAGCGCCTTAAAATTTAAGGAAGACCGTGCCGTTTTGTTGAGATATGGTCAGTTGATATCCTGTGTGAAGGGCACTGCATAAATGCAAGTTGTTGTTTTGCAATCAGGATTTTCTGATGGATGTTTTCAATTACTCGCCCTTCTTCAGAATTCCTATTATCACACCAAAAAATAAATGACAGGCCAGTGGTCAAAGCTCTGCTTCATCAGATCGATATAATAGATTAATAAAGACATTCATAATTAATTAATAATTCATAATAACCGTGTTATAATATTATAATATGTGGTATTATAATAAAAAGAATCTAATGATAAATAGTTAATACTAACATTCTGCTTTTTGGCTCAACTAGTCCACAAGGGTCACATTATTATACACCTTATGAGCCTCCACCTATCCTAATCCCCTCCGTCTCATCTTCATTTCTCTTTCTAGTCCCCCTCTTCCTCATGTATATATCGAGTTTCATTGATGCTTTTTGCTTCAACCGCAGTTTCTGGCAGAAAGTTCCCCACTCTCACCACCCACTGAGAACTCTTTTAGATCTGCTCGTGACGATCTTATATTTATGCTACCCTTGTTGTGGACTCATCAATAAGTGGAAATGGTCTGTTTTAAGCACTCCGAGAATTCTTCGCATGGAGGCCGCAAGTTGTTGTTGTACTAATGTTCATCTTATTGAATCCTTTCAGAATCGTAAGCACCTCTACCAGCTCCCCTCTCAAATTCCGCATCTGTAGAGTAAAAAAAATAATTCTATTCAGTCTTTCTTGATAGCTGTATCCACTCATTCCTGGTAGGTAATATTCCAGTCAATCTATGTGCACTCTCCCAGTATCCTCCTTGCACTATGGCAACCAGAACTACACCCAGTGCTCCAAATATGATCTAACCTGTATAATTGTCACATTACTGCTTCACTGTATAAACTCCAGAACTCTATTTGTTTTCTTCATGGCCTTACTTCCTGATGTGAAAGGCGCTATACAAATGCAATTTGTTGTTGTTGTTGTCCACTTGTGTGGTCACTTTTAGAGTCCTGTGAATCTGAATCCCAGATCTCTCTGCGCCTCTACCATGCTTAGATTTCCTACAGTTGAGAGACTAAATGTCTTCTTTATTCTTTATTCCTTTTACTAAAGTAAATGTTTTTCTATTAAACTTCACCTGCCACCGATTAGCCTATTTTACATTCCTCTTCATTATTTACAGTACCCTCGCCACCCTGGATGGCATCTGCAAATTAGCAGTCCCGTAGCGTAGTGGTTAGAGCACTCGCCTCGCAAGCAAGAGGACCCGGGCAGGGCAAAACCTTAGGCAAGTTTCCTTACTCCACATGCCTCTGTTTACTTAGCAGTAAGTAGGAACCCGGTTATTTGTCAATTGGCTGATCGCTTTCCGGGGATAATAATCTCTCCAAAAAAGAAAGATGTGGTTACTCAATCCACAACTGTTTGTGGGGCACTGTTGGCTGATGTGTTTCGTCCACAAAATACAGTCAATCTACTTTACAATATATTCTGTGAAGCGATTTGAGATGTCTCAACAATGTGATAAGGTGCTATATTAACTGCAAAGATTATTATTATTATACAAAATACCTCAGTATTGCATCTGACCCTGGCGATATGTTAGGGAAGTCCTTCCTGGCTCATCATAGCACTGTGGGTCATTGTGACACAGTTCCAGTTTTCAAAATGTTAAATTATTGGATTAAGCCTACTCAAAGTTTTGCAACTCCTGAGTTTTAGAACAAGTGGCGTGCAGTATTTCCCTGCCCTTTCTACTCAAGTTAGTGGAAGGTTAATTGTGCTTTGGAAGAATGTGTGTTTTGTGTTGCCACAAATTCCTATTTAATTGGAGTTCTGAATTAAATGATGAATTCCTTAAAGGTTATGGTTCTAAATCAAGTATATCAAACTTTGGAACGCCTGCAGAGAAAACACATTCAGTCCTGAATGAACGATTGTTACTCATTTACAACACAGACATCCGAAATAGATGGCAGAATGTGTTATTACAGAATTGAGTACATTTATAATGAATTGAATGCTAGATGCTTCGGTTGCACATTTTAAGATTAGTCTCCTGTTTTGCTGAAACACAAATTTGAATTTGAACAAGCTCCTGTTTATTGTCACATGTGAACGGAGGCTTATTTCTGTTAGGAAGTTGCTGGAAATGTGGACCTGCCCCATTAAACTCCTGGAAGAGTCTTTATCGGAGTTCTCCTAATTTGTATTCCTTCCCGTTTATCCTGCCTGGTGTTTTAATAATATTAATAATAATCCTTGCATTTGATATAGTGCCTTATCACGTCTTTGAGATGTCTCAAAGTGCTTCACAGAATATACTGTAAAGTGAATTGACTGTATATTGTGTTGGTAAAACGTGGCAGCCAATTGTGCACAGCAGTGTCCCACAAACAGTCATGGATTGAGATGACAAATTTATTATTATTTTTTAATTAATTATTACCCCCGGAAAAGCCAATCGACTAGCAACCAGGTTTCTACTTACTGGTAGATAAACAGGCGTCTGAAGTAAGGAAATTTGCCCAAAATTTCACCCTATTGGGAATCAAACCCAGGTCTCTCACTGCGAGACGAGAGCTCTAACCACTGAGCTACAGAACTCCACTAATTAGTGCCCAGCAACGACCACAAAACAATAAAAGGAGGTGAATATGGATGAAGAGGAAATACACCTCATTTGCTTCTATAACAACATTCACTTGGTTTCTAGTTAATCTCTAAGTGACCTGCCAGCATACTCGAACGCTTTGGACGTGAAAGGTGCTAAACAAGCATAAATTTATACTGTATTGCATATTTGTAATTTGCAATTCACCTTGAAACTTTTCTTTTACCTAAACTTGTTGCAAATGTAGTTCTTTTCCTCTAAAATGTTAAGAACCAACAAGTATGTTGAGTATTACAGTCAACTCCTGATAACTCGTCACTCCCAGGGAAAGGGGCTCAGTGATGAGTTTTAAGGAGTGGCGAGTTAGGCACATGTATAAATACATAACTAAATGAGACCGGGATATTGACAACATGATGACTTAAGTGGTAGTGACCAAGTTAAGCCAGGGTCGAGTTATCAGTAGTTTACTGCCTAATAATCCACCTATAACATTAGGACTTCACAGCACATATCCTTCAAGACCTTCGGCCTTCTGGGTTAAACAGCTGAAGTGGGGTTATTCTACCAAAATTGACCTAATTGGGTATCAACATGGCTCAGTTGGTAGCACATTTGTCTCTGAGTCAGAAGGTTGTGGGTTCAAGCCCCATTTTGGGATCTTTAAGCTCGCAATATGCACTGGAACGTCAATACAATGGCAGGGGCGTGCTGAGTTGCTGCAGGTGCCGTCCTTTGAATAAGACGTTAAACTGAGATCCCGTTTACCTGTTCAGGTGGATGTTAAAGATCCCACAGCACTGTTTGAAAACAGAAGGGAATTTCTCCCGGTGTCCTGGCCAAAAATAATAATAATCCTTGCATTATCACGTATTTGAGACGTCTCAAAGAGCTTCACAGGATATACTGTAAAGTGAATTGACTGTATATTTTGTAGGCGAAACGTGGCAGCAGTGTCCCACAAATAGTCGTGGATTGTACCTCCCAGATACAATCTGTCATTCACTTCATGGCTGTTTGAGACATTGCTGTGTGCAAATTAGTTGTTACGATTGCCTACAAAATAGTCACTAAACTTAACATGCCTTACTGTAAAATGCATTGAGATATTGTGATTTTGCAGCCGTTGTATCAAATGCAAGGATTATTTTTTAACCTAATGGCCTTTTTCCTGTGGCTAAACATTCTCATACTCCGAGCTACCTTCCCTATGATACAATTCACACTCCATACGGTGAAAGATGACAAACTCACTTTGTTCTGACAAGAACATTTTTCTTCCCAACTGAGTAACGTTCTCGTCGGGAAATGGGATTAATCTTTACGTCATAACTTTTAAAACCGCAGTAATGGAGCTGCAGATTTGTCTTCTTGTTTTAAATCACAACCGCCGGTGTTCATTAATCTGGACTGTTTCTCCACCATAACAGTTCCCTTGAAGGACACTCAATTTGATTTCACTTTTGTTTCTGAATACCATAGCTGTAAAATTTTCTGTCTGCAAGATTCCTACTTCTTGTATCGCCCCACCACCCACCCTGTAATAGTTTGCAGTACATTGGCACACTCTAGCGGTGCCTTAGCTACTTACTTGATGTATCATTCTCTTTCCTCTGATAATAACAATAATCCTTGCATTTGATGGACCGCATTTTACATTGGAAAGATGTCTCACAGTTCTTTGCAGGATATAATGTAAATTGTTTGTGTATGTTGTAGGTGAATACGCCAGTTAATTCTGAAACATTGGCGAGGACTCGCCTGGACTGGGGCAGGTGTTTGGTGGGCTACTTCTTAAAGCTCCAAGAAATAGATTGCGATTGACTGGTTGGAAACTCCTGAAGTAAATGAATGATTGGATCTGGGGGTTAGTTGGCCAGGAC